TAGTCAGAAAACCGCCAAGGATGACATATTTATCAAAGGAAATAATGGAATTCTGCAACGTAAACAGCGTGGGAAGACTCTAGAAGACTCCTAGAGGCTCCCCACCGAAGCGGAGCCCGTGGCCCTAACATGTGGGGCTGGCCGGCCTATGGGGTCCACCTGGTAGTCCCTCGTTGTTACGTCAGTTCCTCCACGGCCTTAAGGATTGCATCTCCATCGTTTATTCAAGTCGGTTTGATACAAAGGCTCAGGATTGACGCTCCAGCGTATATATACCTACCTACACCCCCTTCTAGGGCATGCTAAGTTAGATCTTGAGAGCTAAAAAGCCAAAAACCCTAATCCATATGTCCACCAGGATCAGAGCTAGCAATCAAGAGAAGATTAGTCCTCAATATGATCTAGTCTTATAATAGAGATAGAGAGATAGAGCGTGAGGGAAGAGTTTGGAGGAGTCTCGACCTATCGGTGCTCTCTCTACGGCTTGTACTCTGGTGGAATCAAGTTCTTCTTGAGCTTGCTTCTGAAATTTCTCTAGTAATCGACCTCTAATTCAAGTAAGCATCTTGTTCATATTGTTCTTTAGGTTTGCGACTCTCTTTTGAGTAATTTAATCCTTGTAGCTCCTGGGTTAAAGTAGTATTCGTAGTGTCAGTGTGGTGCTTAGACTCGGTTACTTGTGGATGTACCCTATTTTTCGGATTGGTGGTAGCTCGCAAGGGTGACTCTTATAGCCTCGTTGAATCTTCTGTAGTCCACCTCCCGTTAGTAGGCCTAGCAGGACTTTATTACTATAGGAAACATACTCTGTCTGTGTTTTTCTCTAGTAATATTCCCAGAATTGAACAATAGAAGACAAAGCTTACCGAAGTTAGAACTAGAAGACCTTAGCAGTCTCCTCTATGCTCCTATTATCTAGCCTTGACTGTGAAGTTGGGTTAAGTTAGATTTATTTATTCTCACACACGTTTCCTCGAGTTCGATATAAAACTAGGTACTCTCGGTGAAGTGCTACATCGGTATAATATCCGTGCGCTTGTGGATTATTCTATGTGCATTAATTTATACCAACAGCGGGACCTAGGAAGAGGTAGGCATACTGCGGGCCGGCCTTGAGTCTCGGGGTGCGGAGTCGAGGGAGCTTTGTGCCGTGGCTCTAGGGGCTTGTTGAGCCCTCTTCCCGCGAGGGGTACGTGACAACATGACGGAGGTGAACGGGCATCTCCGTGCCGCGTTGACGCGCTTCCACGAGGCCGTGGAGGATGGCATTCGACAGGGGGCGGCCTCAGCGTTGGCCATGGTCTACTCCCGCTTCTTTGGCCTGGTGGACATTGGCGAAGTGGTGGAGGGACTTCCCCGAGGCACTAGGGATTCTAACATGGTGCTACTGATGCCCTGCCTAGAGGAAGTTGTCGACGTCGTCCTGGCGATCGCCCCACTAGAGGCGGTCCTCCACGGCCCTTCTCCGGACTTTGAAGGGTGACGGCTGGGCGTGGCACCTCCCCCGTTCCTACGAGAGAAGAGAGATAAGCCCGCGTGTGTTCTGTGCTCGAACTGCGGGGTATTATCCCTGGAACAATCTAATGTTTTTTGTAAATATTAAGTTCGTTTGTTTGCCGCTTCTTTACCGCCCCTGTTTTTCTGCTTCTCGGGCGCTTTCGACCTCCCTTTGATCGCTATTTGGGGTATCATTTCCCTTAAGATCCTTGAGCGTGCCGTGGGTGGCCAGGGTGCATGACCCCTTTCGATGGCGCATAGGCATTGGCGCTAGGTCGGGGAGCTAAGGAACGCAAACGGATCGGGATGAGGGTCGAGTTGGCTTGGCGAGCAGTGCACGTGCAGCACTTTGCACTTACCGGAAGGAGAGGGGATTGGCGGCGAATAGGAAGAGAACTCAACATTTAGCCTAAGAAAATGAAATGCATGAAATAGAGAGGGAGAATCACGTAGCTTTTTGCCCTTCCCCTGAATGCTTGACGGAGGGTAGAGGCAGGGTGTCCCGGTACAGATCAGGCGTTGGCCCCTCGGGGGGTCAGCTTGGCAAAGGTCTTCCATGGTGGGGAAGGGCTGGAGCTCCCCTCGATCGGGCTGGCTCCTCTCTAGGGACCAGGCACCTGGGCAGAGGGTCCTGCCAAGCTACTGCTACCGTCAGGTGTGCCGAACATGCTCTAGGAGCCAGATGGCCCAGGTGCCGGCACCACCTCGTCTTCCCTGTCTGTCATCGCGAGCCCCCGGGGGCCTCGGCTTGGTTGTTGTCGTCGCACGTGGGGTGCCGTGCGTAGTGTTGCTGCGCAAATTTCTGCTTTTGGAGCTTGCGCTCTGGCACGGCGGCCTCCTAGTCTACGCGCCATGCTTGTAGTTGACTTGCCCCCTCCTTGGGGTGACCTATGCGGTAGTCAGGGCTTTGGTCTAATGGCGCGAGCCGAGGCGCTCCCCTAGTGGAAGCTTTATCATCAGCGCGATGATGCTCATAGGGGGTCGCGTCGTGCCCGGTATCACCAGAGTGATGTCTTGGACGAGTCTCCTGGAGAATCATGAAGAAGGCGCATAGCGAGGGGGCGTCGGTCCCCACTACACCGGAGAAGATGGGGCTCTGCGGCACCTCGTGGACAATGAGGTGTTCCAACTCCATCTGGAAGGATATCGCCGTGCTTTGGATCCTAAAAGGTAGATCCAGAGGCAGTACCAAAAGTGGTCTGGCGGCGGGAGCACCTCACCTTTAGTAGCCTAGTGGTGAACGTTCGCCAGCATGTAGAACATCTGGCGGTAGTACGACACGGTGAGATCTAGGCCCAAGCTGTGCTAGAGCTGTCAGGCCAGGACCTTGAGATCTGCTCTCGAGGGCCCTGGCGGAGGGGACAATGCCAGGGGCTCGTTGCCCGGCATTGTGGCTCCATGGAGTAGACGAAGCTCGCCATAGCAGTCAGCGACGTAGGTTAGGCTCCCAAAGTTGAGGACCTGGCCCGGAGCGAAGGCGTCGACCATGACAGAGAACTCACCGAGGAAGCGGACACCGCCGTCTGGGGCAGGGCCGCTTAATCCGGCGATGAGGTGGGTGGCTCCAGCCACCATAGAGCTAGAATCGCACTTGACGCTGCCCCCTACCTGATGCGTCCCAGCTGTCGCGGGGTCGAAACCGCGACAAGCATAGTTATTCGAATCGGTGTCAGAGTACGGGTCTCCGGTGGCTCGGGTGGACTCAAGAACATAAGAATCAAGCAGAGAGGACGCAACGGTTTATCCTGGTTCGGGCCAATTCGATCCCTACGTCCAGCAGCTGATGATTCTTATACTCAAAAGCATCCAAAATCAGGGGGTTACAATAGAGTGTAGAGAAAGATTTGATAGGGAGTTAGCTTGGTGCTAATCCTAAGGTTGCATTGCCGTCGGTGGAGCCTCCCCCTCCGGTGGAGGAGCTCTCGGTGTCCCTCTTTGGGTTGCCTTACTTTCGGTGCGGAGTGGAGGTGGATGGAATGGAATGGAGTGCCTAGTGATCGATCTAGGATCCTCTCCCCTTCTAAGTCCGACTTTATCCCTTATATAATGAGATATGTCAGGTTCATGGCGGTTTGGGGGATCTAGTCTACGGTCTTCGTGCGCCGGAGTCCAGGAGGGGCTTGCAGCGGTGCGCCATGGACCGTGGCGGTGTCTTGGAGCTGAAGAAGTTTTGGACGTCATTCAACCTCTCTGTTCTAACACCCTATGTGTTAGGCTGTGTCAGCTTGGACCAGCCTCCCCCGGGTGGACCTTCTGGAGTCTTCTCGGTGGTGAAGGAGGTAGGCTCCAGGGGTTGACGTGCGGGTCCGGGAGCCCCCGAGCCCCTAGAGGCCGAGGGAAAGCTTTGTCTTCTTGTGTCACGCCCTGTACGTAACCCTATCGGGGGAGCAGTTGGTAGGGCATGCCTAGGGAGCGGCACCAGGGAGCCCTCAAGCATTGGTAGCTTGGGGCTTGTCTTCCTGTGCTCGAGCCTTGGCTAGTGTCGTTAGCCGAGTAGGAGCCAAGGGCGGGGCCCGGGTGCACCGTAGATTAGGAGCCTAGGGCTCGGGCGAGCCCCTGAGCTCCAAGTGAAGGTCGTGGCCAAGTCAGGCTTGGCTGGATCTCTTTGCCAGAGGGCGCGCGTGAGCGTGCTCGATGGACATAGCCTCCGAGCCCTCGAGTGATCTTGAAGGGGTCGGTTGAGGGTCTTCTTCGGTCGAAAACCATTAATCCGAGGCTTAACATAACTATATATTAGGATCTCGTCAGGTTTCATCTTCACAAAACTCATTTTATTCCATCTATCTTTATCTATCTCACACCATATCAGCCCATTTAATGTTATAAAACTCTGATAAGACTGAGACTGACCTAGCTAGCACATAGACCAACACAGGACTACGGATCCTCCACGCACAACGGTTCTACGTGAGTGTTGCAATGGCCATGGGGTCGGTCCGAGAGAAGCCAAAAGGCAGCGTCCCCATCCAACTGTTGATCCCTCGGCTTCCATCCCGATCGGACGGCACATAGCCCAGGCGGCCAGGCCTCCGGCTCCGCGTGGGCCCGTCGACTAGGGTGCACTCGCACCCTACGCGGCTCCGGCGGGTCCTGACCGATCGCAGAAGCAAGAGAGAGCGAGGAGGAGGAGGAGGAGGAGGAGGAGGAGGCCGCACCCCCGCCGCCGCTTCGCCGCCGGCGACCTCCGTCTCTCGCTTCCACCATATCTCTCCTTTCCACCCTTTCTCGCGGTCACCCTCGGCCGCCTCCCGAAGCCCTACCCTTGATTGATTGGATTCCAATTTCAGTTCCACTCCCCCCTCCCACCACTATTCACGGGGCGGCTCGGAGCGGCTCGGCGAACCGCGCGCGATTCCTCCCGGCCCACGCGTGCGCACGTTGGCGATACAGGGCTAGAGTTTCGTCTCCGGCGCCTTGCGGAGTTAAGCTAGGAGAAGGAACTGAATAAAGTGAAGGTGGTGGTGCGCTGAAACCCTAGCTGCTGGACGCCCGGGCGTGCGGGTATGGCGGGGGAGCTGGGGCAGCAGACGGTGGAGCTGGGCGCGGTGGTGCGGCGTGCGGCGGAGGAGTCGTATCTCGCGCTGCGGGAGCTCGTGGAGAAGTCGCAGGCGGAGGCCGAGGGGAAGGGCCTTGGCGCTGGAGCCAATGGCGGCTGGCAGCGGTCCGACACCGAGAAGAAGATTGACTTGCTCAAGTTCATCACACGCACGCGCCAGCGGATGCTTCGCCTCCACGTCCTTGCCAAGTGGTGTCAGCAGGTGCTGCCTAATTTCAGTCTCTGCAGTTCTATTTCCCTTGCTTGTTCGTGTCCTTGTCATAATTCCACTGTGTTATGTGAAGAATTCATTTTTACTGGTGTGACTCTGTGAGTGCCTCCAACTTGATACTAATATCCTGGTTTAGGGCTTGTTGGTTTAGTGGCATTGTCTCACCTATCTAGCTCGAGTGGCGTATAAAGAAGGATATTCGTAGTTGTTGGCATATTGCAGTGTAGTGGGCTAGTGAAGATCGGTGATTGTTGATGGATTGTGCTAGCATTTTGTCTCTGATTTTGTAGGGTCTGTACTCCAGTTCCTAGTAGGACGTAAATAATTGTTTGGTGGACAAAAAGTAATCCAGTTCAATCTTGGCATACTCATTTATTTGATTATTTTGATTTGTTGGATGGTAGTACGAAAAACTCACCTTGCTTCGTGCTAGAAACTTATATTATTTTTCTGATGCTCTCCTGGTGTGCTCTGGCATAGATGGAGGAGTGAAATAAAACCATTTTTCAATGTACTTGAAATAGTGCGAATAGTCATTTGGATCGGTTCAGAGCCGATAATGCCTCCCCTGTATCCTAATCCACTTTTCTTTGTTGGATTCAGAGCGGAGTGGATAGTACACTGATGTGGATGCAGATTTTTTTGGATGTCGGAAGTGGTACGGATATGGAATGGAATCGGATCGGAGACGGATTTAAATAGTTGAGTAATATGTGCAAACGTAGGGAAATATATGCTTGTCAAGAATTGATTTAGTAAAGAAACAAGAACAAGCAATAGATATTAATCTTGCATTGCATTCCATGTTGTGTCTATCACACCAATACATTAACACTTAACATGTATATTCATTCGCAAATGATAAAGTTATTAACCAATAAGTAATAACAGCCAGCAAATTCTCAATTAAAAAATTAGAACATCAAACCACATCACAAAATAAGAGTTCTCAACTAACAATTTTTTTTTAGATCCTAGTATCCTACATTCCTCTTGGCTTTAGTCAGGGAGAAAAACTGTTGGATATCCTATTTTAAACATCAGATAATCCGTATAGAATTTGCGGATAATCCATGCCCATCGGATTTTGCGTATTCCATATCCTACCCCTGCATCCGCACACAATCAGATTCGGATTATCCCTCAAATTATAATATTATACTGTATGGTTTGAACTGTGGTAATGTGGCTGTTATGCTGTCATGAATTATTTATTTGTAGCATATATTTGATGCAAACTAATTCTAGTGCAACAGTGCAAGCGATTTTTGTTCTATAACAAAATCAAATGAAGTATTCTGATTTTTTATTAGACTGCTCTTTATTTGGTTTACATCCATAAAACCCTTCTGTTTCAAATTTAATTGACATATAACTTTTTTTTTGTTACAAATGTAATTAAACGTAGGACAGGAAAATGAGACTGCCAAGGAAAAAAATAAGTTAAAGACAAGGGCAATGAAATCAGAGAGATTACTATTTACCTTAAGATTAATATTTCCTTTCTTTGTCCCTAGCAAGCTTAGATATGGCATTGGCCTAGTCCATAGAGCACTTCCTCAATGGCTTCAGAAGTACTGAAGTTGATATCATGGCATTTGTAGAAAGGATATGGGAAACACCTCACCCCTAATGAGGGGGGGTGACCTCTATTATATAGCCAATCAGGCTTGATATATATGGAATACAATCAGTGTACATGGAAAGAATGAACAAGCTTCCTAATACACATATATACTTCCTAATACCAGCCCGCAGTCGTAGCGGGAGGATCATGAACGCAAAGACTGGACCGAAACTCAGTGAACAATGGAGTTGGAAGGCCCTTCGTCATGATGTCCGCGAATTGGTGAGAGGGCGGCACATGGAGGACCCGGACCTCACCCAAAGCCACCTTCTCACGGACCAAGTGGATGTCAATCTCGATGTGCTTCGTGCGCCGATGATGTACCGGATTGGCTGTCATGTATACTGCACTGACATTATCACAGTAGACAACAGTAGCTGAAGCAAGCGGGACATGAAGCTCCTGGAGAAGTTGGCGCAGCCAACAACATTCGGCCAGAGCATGAGCTACAGCACGATACTCCGCCTCAGCACTGGATCGAGACACCGTAGTCTGGCGCTTGGAGGACCAAGACACGAGGTTGTCGCCGAGGTAGATGCAGAAGCCGGAGGTGGAGCGTCGGGAGTCCGGGCAGCCAGCCCAGTCGACGTCGGAGTAGGAAGTCAGAGATTGAACAGACCCTGTGCCGATGTGAAGTCCGGAGGAGAGTGTGCCCTTCACATAGCGCACGATGCGCTTGATTAGGGCCATATGGGCTCGCGTGGATCATGCATGAAGAGACACCTGCTGAACCGCATAAGCCAAATCTGGTCTAGTCAGGGTGAGGTACTGAAGGGCCTCAGCAAGGCTTCGGTACTTAGAGGCATCCTAGAGTTTGGTGTCGTCCTGTGCCGAGAGCTTGGCATGAGTGTCGACGGGAGTCGCTGTAGAGTGACACTCAGCCATGCCAGCACGTTGAAGAAGGTCCAGGGCATACTGTTGCTGAGACAGGAATAGGCCCTGGGAAGAACGCGTCACTGAGATGCCGAGGAAGTGATGCAGGGAGCCAAGATCTGTCATGGCAAACTCGGAGTGAAGACGGCCCATGATGTGCTGCAGAAGAGTCGTGGACGACGCGGTGAGGACGATGTCATCGACATATAGCAGCAGATAGGCGATGCTCGAACCTGAGGGACGTGTCGGAGACGGAGGCGACGAAGCTGAGCTGTCGAATGTAGGAGCCGAATCGCTGGTACCATGCCCTCGGTGCCTGCTTCAGTCCATACAAGGACTTCTGGAGGAGACAGACGTGATCTGGAGCAGCGGGGTCGACGAAGCCGGGAGGCTGCTGGCAGTAGACAGTCTCAGCGAGATGGCCGTGGAGAAATGCGTTCTTCACGTCTAGCTGGTGGATCGGCCAGGCGCGAGAAGCGGCGATGCTGAGGACGGTCCGTATCGTCGTTGGTTTGACAACCGGACTGAAGGTCTCGTCGTAGTCGATGCCGTGGCGCTGGGAGAAGCCTCGGACCACCCAGCGCGCCTTGTGCCGGGCGAGTGACCCATCAGCATGGAACTTATGCCGGAGGATCCATTTGCCCGACACGACATTGGCACCGGGCGGCTTTGGGACAAGGCGCCAAGTGTCGTCCTTCAGAGCCTGGAACTCGTCCACCATTGTAGCACGCCAGTTGGTGTCAGCCAGAGCACTGCGATAGTTGGCCGGAAGCGGAGAGGGCGATGATGGCAAGGCCATCAAGCCACAGTAGACACCACCGAATGGCCCCGATTCTTTGTCCGAGTGATAGGTCGTGTAGAAGCGAGGAGGGGCGGCGATGGCGGGATCGCAGGTGGTTGAGTTGCCGTAAGCGCAGTGGCGACAGCAGAGGTGTGTCTTGCGCCGGGCTGCTGGTGCCAAGACCGAAGCGGTCTTTGCAGAGGCGCCGAAGCCGATCTGCAGCCAGCCGGTGGCCGCCTAATGTAGTGAAGAGGCGGTACCATACAATGATCCGGTAGAGTCTTTGGCGGCGGGTGGAAGCCCAATCGCAGGAGCGTGGACGACGTCCAAGCCGGCCGGTCTTTGCAGATGGAGGAAGAGGGCGCGCCCCCCCAATGATCGGAGCGCTGTACACTCTTCGGACCGCGTGCACTGTAATCATGGATCATCGTCGGGAAGTTCCTGCAAAACAGTGGGTGATGGTCGTGGTGTCGCAACGTCCGAGGACGGAGCGACCGAGGCAAGTGTAGGAGCAGTAGAGAGGCTTGACAAGAGGAAGTCAAGCTGTGACGGGTGAGTAGGGTGGGAGGAGAAAGGAAAAACGGACTTGTCAAAGACAACATGGCGAGAGATGATGACTCGGCGGGTGGATAGGTCAAGGCAGCGGTACCCTTTGTGCGAGGAAGGGTAACCGAGGAAGACACAGGCTGTAGATCTAGGAGCAAGCTTATGGCGTGCCGTGGCTGAGAGATTAGGATAGCAGAGACAACCGAATACATGTAAGTGAGAGTATTCGGGGGGCTGGGAATAGAGGAGTTGATAGGGAATGTTGTTTTGAACAGCTGAACAAGGGCGACGATTCAGAAGATAGGTGGCAGTGGCGAGGGCCTCGGCCCAGTATGGGGCGGCCATGGAGGCATGAATCAGTAGGGTGCGAGTGACATTGTTAAGGGTGCGGAGGACATGCTCAGCTTTCCCATTTTGAGGAGAAGTGTAGGGACAAGAGAGGCGCAGGTGGATGCCTCGAGTAGTCAAAAAAGATGTGAGAGTCTTATTGACAAACTCGGTTCCGTTGTCGCCTTGGATGTTGTGAACGGGAAGACTGAATCGTAGTGGTGGCATAAGCACGTAAAGGTGTGATATGTTGGGTGACTTCAGATTTGTGAACAAGAGGAGTCGTCCAGCAGAAATGTGAAAATCATCCAAAATGACAAGATAGTAGCGATAACTGTAAATGCTAGGTCTTGGAGAAGTCCGGACATCACAATGGACTAACTCAAAAGGAGTGGAATCTATGAGAGCTGGAATTAGAGAAAGGTAACCGCACATGTTTCCCTAATTGACATGAATGACATGAGTATGACCGCCTTTATTACGAAAATGGATGCTTTACATCTAAGTGCAACATGATGGCGGCAGGACCGGGATGACCGAGACGGAGATGCCACAAGTCGGAGGAGATGGCGAGACCGGCGTGGGGTCTTTGCAGAGTGGCGGCTTGAGGAATGGTGTAAAGATCGCCAAATGCTATTGCAAATGCTCTCTCTCCACCTTGACGAGCCAAAAGCACACGCCTCCTCGGCGACAGCTCACAACGCGACAAGACCGGAAGGGTGGTGCCTCGACACCGGCGCCACCCATCACATGACCGGTCGACGGAGTTCTTAACCAAGCTTGACTCTAGCGCTCCGAGGCTCCGCTCAAGTTTGGGGATGCCTCCGGCGTGGAGAT